CAAAAGGAATGCACACCACAAAAAAAAGTGGAAATGAAAGCCAAACCAAAAGTCAGTGTGGTTAAATGATAAGCTTATTTGAACAAAAGAGGAAACCTCAGAAGAATCAATCTTTAATAACTCAAGAAAAAGGGCATCCAACAATAGCAGGTAAAGTGCAAACTTGAAGTGGGTTGCCAATAACCTATATGGAAAACAACATTGTTAACAACAACGAGGAGATGAACCTGTACTTGGGAACAAAGGGAATGCTTTATCAGATACACCTCACTGGGATGAGACATAACTAACAGCAGTTATAAGGTAGTGTTGACCCCCTTCAGGGAAAAAAACAAAACAAAACAACAAAACACCACCACAAAAAACTACAACTGTGACTAGCAGTTACATTCAACAAGGATGCTTTTGTAGCTTTCAAAGCAATCACAAAAGGAATGCACACCACAAAAAAAAGTGGAAATGAAAGCCAAACCAAAAGTCAGTGTGGTTAAATGATAAGCTTATTTGAACAAAAGAGGAAACCTCAGAAGAATCAATCTTTAATAACTCAAGAAAAAGGGCATCCAACAATAGCAGGTAAAGTGCAAGACACTTGAAGTGAGTTAAAAAAAAATAAAAATCTAAGAGTCAAGTACAACCTTACTATTTTGGTTATACACGAGCTTCAAATTACCATAGGAAAGTAGCCTTACAGAGACTCCAGACACCTTATTAAAAATGCCTAAGTGAAGCAAATACAGATTAAGATAATGTTTAGGAACTAAAGTGAGAATATTAGGAGGTATCTGCTCTTATGAGATGAGAGAGACAACCTAATGCAGATTATGACTAAAGGTTGATCTTGTGCCACTTTTAATGTCTCTGTATGCTAGTTCTTCCATCATCTCTTATATGTGTACTGAAAAATAAGAGGACCAGAGGTGAGCAAAAAAAAGTTAAGAGATCAGTCAGTACTAAGAAAACTAAGGAGAGCACATGCAAACAACTGAATTCCTATGGAAGCTGCACATTATCAGCAGAGATGCTGGAAGTGACCACGTCCACATCCATTTAAAAAACAAGGTCAAGTGTAAGCACTAGAACTGAATGTATTCTAAATTGCTCAGACAAAATACAATGTTCAAAAAAAAGTAACACTTTACAGATTTCTTTACCACTAAAAATTTCCATGTGTTTTGCATCCAAGATTATCATAAAAAAAGATGACAAAACGCCTTATGTTTACTGTTTACACATTTGTGAATAGTCAGCTGTACTACTTCACATACTGCTACAAGTTTCCTGTTCCTTAATGAAAAAAGAAAAACATTTACCTTTTCAACAATGAAAGTTGCAATGGTTCTGGAAGGGGTTACTTTCCATTAATTTAAAAATTGGCTGAATTCTGTACAGTTGCAGTGTTCCTTTAGAGCAATGATGAGTCGGGGTTTGTAACAGGGCCATGTGACTGCAAATCAAAACTTGGAAGATAACAAACCTAGACAGAGCGAAGATTGCTTCTGACAAGGAGTGCTGAGCCAGAAGTTTCCAATGCTTTTCCACTGACAGAATTACAGGAGGTAAGAGAACTCATTCACACCCCCATCACAAGATTTTCATTAAAAACAAATATATATACACACATATATGGGCTGCTGAAAAGAATATTTTGCAGTCATTAAGTACTAGTCAAAACCAATAAGCTAAAGAGTACTCATGTCTCTTCCTTGCATACCTCTGGTCTTCTAAATAAAGACTATACAGGCTGTCAGAGCCTGGAATAAACACACACTCACGTGAAGTGCTTCAGAAGTAAGTGTTCTCCTACAACCATGCAGAGTAAAAGAAGTCATTCAAAGTGACAAATACTGAAAATTCAACATGTAAGGCATACAGAGTTAAAACGTATCTTTTAGGCTTCCTTGAAGCGTCCAGAAAGAACTGAATTCTGAAACAGATCTCATTTACAGTCTAGATAGCAAGTCAGCTCCTCCTATGGGGTAATTGCATGGCAGCTTATTATAGCTATCAGCTTAATTACGAAACATTCCAAGCAACAGTAATACATTTCATTGGTAAAAGCAAATTGAACTATTATTACTTTAGCGAGCAAGGTTCAGTCCTCATTTTGATAGCCTTTCCCCACTTGCAGCTCATGGTCCATTCAACCCAGGCCTGGTATACACCAGTCACTGGTATCTTCTGACTGAACAACACAGCTCTGCTAAGCTGATCTTCCCAATATAGTTTCAGACTACGTATACCCTGGAAGATTTCTTGCCTGTGCAGAAATAAACAAACATGGGATAAACAAAGCATTGGGAATCAAAGAGAAAGAAAATGGAGAGGTGGTGTGTCAACAACATCAGATGAATGAGGACCTGAAGGGCATGGACCCTTTTGCTTGGGAAGCGCAATGAGTGAACAGAACCCTTACTGTCACAGACGGGCAAGACTGCCGGGACTTCCTGGTATAGACACAAGAGTAAGACATCGTGCAGCATTAACAGTGAGGTTCCAGGAGCCTGCTGATATCCCCTCACTTGCAGCTTTCTAGCAACAAGGATTTTCTACTTCAAATGCTTCCCTTTTTCAGTAATACTGAGTCACTAGCAGAAAACTTTACTATTAAAAGCGTCATTGCTATACTGGACATTCAAACAAAGAGGTTCCCCAGATAACGCCGCATTGATGAATCTCTTGAAAGTCTTATGATCCAAAGATTCAAAAAGACAGCTGTTATTTATCAGCAAGATGCACACAGACCATACCATGTCCCCACACCCAGACTCTGAGGGGATGGCATATAATACCCAGCACATGGGAGGAATTACACTGTTGGGGGATTTGGAGAAGCTTAAGAATATGCAACAAAGTACACAAGAAGAAAAAAAAACTGGACAATTTGAAGCCCGTCCTTAAAATCCTGGAGCACTTATACAATTCAGTAAGCCCCCGTTTGTAATGGAAGCTCAGTACTGGGTCCAGTGTGTAGCAAGTCTCTGAAATTCACCCACTGGGAACAATTCCTATCTAGAAATATCAAGTATACTAGAAATTATCATGATACTCAGTTGTTTTTCAAAAAAAGCTTTTAAAATTTTGAAACTGGATATTTGATAATCTTGTTTGACTTAAGAGGAAGTGTCCTATGATGCACACACACAGAGGAAGATAGTTTAGAGGGAGGGGAGACTGGATTAACTGTCAACAGACAAATCCTTGCCTACCAAATTAGTTTGTTTCTGAATTTTTATAGGCACTAAACCAGTAACCAATTTTCTCTCCACCCCAAATTTCCAACTGTAGCAACAGAGAACTGGGACACCGGAGCTAACACTCAAACTAATGAGTTGTGACAGATATGACTCTGAGATACCAGAACTTTTTACTCATGGACAGCTGCCTAAGCTAGGGCTGTACTGTTTAGGATGGTCTGCACATTTTTTTTTCCCCAAGCTGTTTATTGGCACATGACTTTCATCACCAACATCAGTTTGTAGGGATCGGCATCTACTGCAATAGATTACACCAAGTAAGCTTCTGCACTGATACATGTTTTTCCTCAGAGTCTGAATGTTACATACAGTACTGCACACAGACAGATGCTACAATTGGGGATACAGCAAAAATACCTAAAAAAAAAAAAAAAAAAGAAAAACACGCAGGATCAATTCTCATTTTTGTTTTAATTGCTAGTAAGAGTGTTGGTAACTCCTATAAAAAGCTTGATGTTGCAAACTACCAGATATTTTAGTGCAATTGTTACTGAAAGCACTCTCACTAAGTGTGCTTCATTGATTAGGAAATGACAGTATCATCCAAGGAGAAGGTAAGTGATGTTTACTCATATTACCTAACGAGATAAAAGAAGCTACTTGTTTAAGCATTGTTCAAAGACGCTGGAGTTCCTAAGATTTGGAAAAAAGCATACAGAAAGAGAGACAAATTGAACAGTCCTAATAAAGCAAAGGAGACAATTTCAACTGTTTTTAATATAATACAAAATGCTCCTAGCTGCCACAGAAAACATCATCCAAATTCAGTTTTAAACTGGAAAAAAAACTCAGGCCTTTACTTGACCTCTTTAAGATTTCTACCACTCCTGGAATGTTACCAAATCATCTTTCCTATGAAACGGCAAACAAAACAGAAGCAAACTGGTCATCTGTCATCCCAGCGCTCCTCACTACCACTAATCCTAGAGCAGATCCAGTGGATTTAGGAAAAGTAGTGTGCAAGTTATATTTAAAATAGATACCGTTTAAAGCCAGGCCTACAGTATTTAATGTGATTAGTCTCAGACGTGGAAGAAAAGTGGATCTTCCATGTCTGAATAAGTTTGATAACGAACAAACATAGTTCTTCAAGGGCTTAATCTAGCTACAGTGCTCTTTATGAAAGCAGTTTCGTGAGCACTCAACAGCAGTGTTAGGATGCTCTGAGTGAGCTGCTCTAAGATTTACCAGCATCTTCCAGTCTTCCAACACACCTTCCCACAAACAGCAACAATAAACGTTAAGAATTTCTTCACAAAAAGAGCATCTTTATGTAACATCATATAATAACAATATCACAGAGGAGCTGGGAAAGGTACAACAGCGCAAGTCAGCAAGCGGAGCACATACTGAGGCTTGTACTTTGGTAGTTAGCCAGCAACAAGACCTGGCCATAACATCGTATTTTCTCTTTTCAACTCCTCTGTTTAGAAGTACCCTCCCCCCCACCCCGAAACCCATCCGAGTGGTCAAATCTTTAAAGAGCTATAACATAATAAATGCTTTATAATGATAATCGGGACTGTTACTGTAGTTTTGTCTTGGGCACCGACAACCTCTTTGACATTGCAACGCAGCTCCTGAAGGAAAAAAAGTTAATTTTTCAGTCTAGGAGACACAGGGCACATCTGTACGACCAGACTGGGGGAGTCACACGCTGGCCCTGCCCAGTGTCTAGAAACCATATGCTTACATTAATGCAACGCTGCGCAGAAGCAGGACTTGGGCCTGGGCATTACTCACGTTGTGAGGCACATCAAGAGCTTCTGGGTCAGAAATCACCGGATCAGAGCGTGGAGAATGCACCTGTACTTGGCCATTGCTATCAAGCAACGTTATTTTCGAGCAATTTCACAGAATGAAGGGAGGACTGTGAAGTGTGATTCCCGACTCTGAATAAACACCTTGCCTAGCAAATTTGACACCGCAATGTCCAGAAACTAAGCAGAGGACGAGAAAATACGTTATTTCGACTCAGCCACCGGATCAGAGCGTGGAGAATGCACCTGTACTTGGCCATTGCTATCAAGCAACGTTATTTTCGAGCAATTTCACAGAATGAAGGGAGGACTGTGAAGTGTGATTCCCGACTCTGAATAAACACCTTGCCTAGCAAATTTGACACCGCAATGTCCAGAAACTAAGCAGAGGACGAGAAAATACGTTATTTCGACTCAGCCGGTTCCTCAGAGTGCTCTGCATCACAGCCAGAATCAAAACTGCAGGCAGCCAGCAACCGGCACGGTTTCGCCGCCCGAGCGGAGCAAAGCAGGAGAAACGAGACACGGAAAAAAAGGGCAACTGCTCTGCTCGCTTTCCACCCTCCTACCGAGGCAACATGTGCGCCCGCTCCCGCCCCCGGCGAGGGAGGGAAAGCAGCCCGGCGGC